CCAACAGGATAATGCACCATGTCATAAGGGTCGAATCGTCATGGATTGGTTCGAGGAACATTCCAGTGACTCTCAAGTCATGTCTTGGCCCCCAAATTTACCTGACCTTAATCCAATAGAGCATTTGTGGTCCTACTTGGAAAACCAAATTCGTGCTGCCACGCTACCCCCTCGCAATGTGACGGAATTGCAGGACCAGTTGGTACCAGATACCTCAGACTACCTATCAGCACCTTGTGGAATCAGTGCCATGGTGGGTGCTAGCAGTTTTGAGGGCTAAAGATGGTCCTACATGTTATTAGCAGGGTGGTCATAATGTAATGGCTCTTCGGTGTATATTAGTATCAAAGTAGAAGAAAAAAACAGTTTCTCAAATTAACCATGTCCACATTTTTTCCCTATGCCCACCCGATTGACACTCATAATTCAGGTATCTGTAGGGCAGATTTGTTGGTCACTCTTACAGTGGCACTATACTAAGTGCGCTGTATTACAGTGGCACTATATTAGGTGCACAATATTACACTGGCATCATAATATTCCCTACAATAAGGGTAGATAGGAGAATGAAAGAACATCCATGCATTGCCGGGATTCATGCCTTGTCGGAACACATTACCTTTCTGCCGTTAGGTCAGCTCCCTGACCACAACGCAGTCCTGTCGACCATGTCCTTCTTTTAGCTAAGGCTTTTAATTTTTTTCATCCTGATTATGTGCGATTCTGCTTTTATGACTCACTCATCTCGAAGAGGATAAACTACCAAACCATATTTAGAATGATTCAAGATGAGTATCTAGCCAAGTTCGAACGTATAAAACGCTTAATAAAATTGGATTTTCTCTGGACAAAATATAATTGGATTTTTTTATTATTAATAATAATAAAATAGGATTATTTTTTAGAATTTTATGGAAGTAATGTTCATTTTACTGACTGAGAGGGCCTTCGCTGATAATACTTCGCCGGCTGTAATACTGAAGTAGAAGAAGACGAAGAAGACGAAAAAGGAGACGACAAAGAAGAAGAAAACGAAGAAGACGAAAAAGGAGACTACAAAGAAGAGGAAGAGGACGAATAGGAAGAGGAATAAGAATAAGAAGTTCAACTAGAAGAAGAATGTCATTCTGATTTAATTTAACGATGAAATTTATCTCATGCTCTACGACAGGTTATGAAATTGGACTTGAGCTAGAAAGTTGGGAATATATTGTTCAGTAGCGTACAGGAATTGCAATGGAATTCTTTGATGCAATATTGTGCATTCTGAAGAAATATTCGAAATGTAAATTTTAAATACCTGAAAATTTTTTTATTGCATTTTGTCATTTAACATACAAAATCCATCTAACTTTAATCTAAATTGTAATATTATATCTTTGCGATTCCCATTTGCTTTGTCTGATTCATAAGGTGCAGTTTTTCTCATTCCAAGTCATAATGCATAATTTCACACATAATACAATAAAAAATGAAGTTTAAACCTGATACAGTACAATAAAAATACGATTTTAACCTAACACAAAGAAAGCTTATTCATTCTATTGACTTGGGTTTGATTGTATTCAATTTAGCGTAATGAGATTCAAAGTTATCAATATGTTATCTAGTTAGATTGCAAACTTTGAAGGATTAATAGGCGTCTGGCAAAATTCTACATTTTTGTTCATAAAACGCTTATAACTTCTAAATTATTGGTCTCGTGATTGGTTTTAAAAATGTAGAGGGATTAAAAAATGTTGGTTTAAAAAATGTCGTGATAGCATATAAGAAATGTACATAAAAACCATACGTTTTTATTCATAAAAACATCTGTAATTTCTTAACTATTATTTCTAAAGATTCGTATTCTCATTCGAGTCAGTGTAAAAAGAATCTATAAGAAACAATATGGTATTAGATAGCATACTTTAATGTATGAATGATACAAATAAAATAGTATGCATTTTTGAACATAAAACCCTTATATCTTCTTAACTATTGGTCTTATCCTCTTGTGGTTAGTCTCTTTGATTCAATGTAAAAAGATGTATCGTAAATAATTGCTCATTTAGCTAGATGGAAGAAACTAGATTCTCCCACTCAAACTCGTACAAAGAAGAGTAAGGGAGTGTTCAGGCATCATATATGAAAACATAACAAAGCTTTCTATGAAGAAAAAAAAACTTGGATATTAATTTCCATGAAGAAAAAAATCCAATTTTACTGGACTAAGAGCAGAAAATCAACGAATTTTCAAGCTCATACAGCGTGAATTCATTACATGTTCTAAATTTTTATGAATAAAATATGTTTTGCGTGTTGCTTCCTCTATAATTGATTATAAATAACATCAATGTGAACTAATCAAAAGTGGCATATACATTGCATATTGCTGTAAAAACAGTGCTTAAAAGTTAGGTTGTAAGTATGGATAGTGCTCTTATTTATTATATCAAAAAATTTGTATCGGATTTACCCATTGAGGTGCCTGTTAAGCTTAGTTCAGCATAACTAGGAAAAATCATTCTTAAAAAACAAAAAAGTCGATTTTTTTTTTTCGAAAAATTTTTTTTCTTTTTTTTCTCTGACAAAATTAATACCTAACGATAGATATTTAGACTTTTATTTTATAACCGGCTTTGAACAATCGACCTTCTTTCGGGTTTACGATTTATCAATGTTTTACTCGGTACTCTTGTACTTTTGAACTCGACCCAAAAGACAATGGAACTTCTGGATACGCCGGGATAGCCTGGTCGGTAGGGCGCTGGGCCCATATCCAAGAGGTCGTGGGTTCGATCCTCACCGGCCGAAGACTCCCCGTGTAGTAAATGGTGACTGATGCACGTTAAATCTGTCGAGTCTCAAAGTCCTCCATGTTTCCACAACAAATCAATACCTCTGGGGGTACTGATCCAGGAGTTTCCTTGTCTTCTGAATTGGTTCAAAATTACAAGGCTACGGCGTTGAACGTAAGTAGTCGCAAACCCATGAAATTGGGTCGGCTGTTCAACGACGGTTATAAAAATAAAATAAAATAAAATGGAACTTCTGGGAACCGCGATGACTCAGGGGATAGAGTGTTAGCTTTCCAATGCGCAAACCGGGTTCGAATCCCAGTCGACACAAATTCCGCATCCGGCTTGCACCAAACCACAGTGCTGACGTGAAGTATCCTCAGTGGTAGGCGGATCATGGGTTAGAGTCCCCTTGCCGTCAGGCTAACCGTGGGAGGTTCTCGTGGTCTTTCTCTCCATGTAACGCAAATGCGGGTTAGCTCCATCAAAAAGTCCTCCACGAAGGTAAATTAAAGATATAGCTCTGACATGACAATACTTATAGTTGAGGTAGCTACTTGCACTAATAAAATAAATCTTAAAAAAGGAAAAAAAAGCACTATTGTGGTTTAAGTAAAAGTTCTAACTTACATAAAAATAGTGAATCATTTTTACTTAAAATGAAATTATTTAATTAAAAAAAAATAATGAAATGGAAAATCAATATAATAAAAAATCCATTTAATTGAAATTGAAAGAATTTTCGTTTTTTTTTTTAAAATTTGACGTCAGTAAATAAATCATAAAATCTATCAATAGGATAATAATAAACATTAAAAGTTGTTTTAATCAAGTCCCAAATATT